TCGAGGTCCCCCAATACTTTTTCCGCACATTACACTCGCTACTCATACGATATGTCTGGGTGACTAAACCAGCTGGACTCCGCTATCTGGTTCTGACGCGGAAGAAGGCTCAGGGGGGGGTTGGCCTACCGGATCTTGAACTTTATTACCAAGCAACACTTTTGACTAGGTTGTTAGATACTATTTTTCATTCTGCTAACAAATTGTGGGTGCAACTAGACCGGGACATACTGTCCTTCTCCCCCCTATCCCTGTTCTGGTCTCCGCCCCACCCGCACCAGCCTCCCCTTTTTTCTCCCCACTATGCTCAAAGTATGGGATGCCTTGCTTAGCTCCTCCAATATTTCTTCGTAATACGGCCCTCTTTCCCAAGTCATGGACAACCCTGACTTTCCTCCGGCACGCCTCGCCCACCAGTTCCTTGGTTGGGAGTCTCGATCCTTTAGCCCTATTTGTCAGGCTATGCAGGCGGGCACTTTGCGGCCCCTCATCGGGTTGCTGAAGAGGGAGACTGTGATGCCGGGTAGCTGGCTGGCGTATTTTAAATTGCGCGATTTCCTGACCGGGCCTTGCTGCGAGAGGTTGCCCAACGAGGGAGCTTTCTCCCTTTGAGAATTTATGTGTCTCCAGAGACCCCCCAGCACGCATGATTTCTACTATATACGGGTTTTTGCTGTCAGAGCGCGCCTCGCCTACCCCCTCCTTTGTGAGGGACTGGGAGAGAGAGATAGGATGCAACCTCACAGATGAGGACATTTCTAAATCCTTTGCCTTGACACACACCATGTCCGTAGCGAGCAGATATCAAGAGAGAAATTATAAGGTCCTGTCGAGATGGTACTACTGTCCTACTAGACTCCAGGCCATGTACCCATCTACCTCTGCACTATGCTGGCGGTGTCTGTCACATCCAGGGACGATGTTGCACATCTGGTGGTCCTGCCCTCTGCTGACCTCGTTTTGGGAAACTATTTTCGATACCTATGATCAGATCTTTCACACCAAGGTGGACAGGTCTCCAAAGGTGGCCCTTCTGTCCGTGCTGCCAGGTTCGGTCTCATCGGCTAAGAAGGGTCTCCTCAGATTTTTCGTGATGGCGGCTAAGGCGGTTATACCGCGTCACTGGAAGTCGAGTACTCCCCCTACTACCCGTGAGTGGGTTCTTGAAATGCATAATATATGCCGGATGGAGGAGCTCACTGCAGCTCTGTACCACCGAGATGCCAAGTTTACTGCTACTTGGAGTGTCTGGTTGCATTTCTGCACTACTGAGGGCTTTACCAGTCTGGTGATGCTGTAATTGGACACCTCAGTAAAAGAGATACATTGTAGAGTACCCCGGACCGTGGCTGTACCATACCCCCCCTCCCCCTACTTTCCTCTTCCACCCCTCTCTCTCTTTCCTCCCCCCCAGACGGGAGGGCTGGAGGCTCCCACCATGTGGGAACAATCTGGAGCTGTGGTGTTCATTGTCATTGGACCATTGTCCTCCCTAGCTTACAGTCAAGTTATTTGATGCATATTACGAAGGTTGTATGATGTTGTTGTGCCTTAACACTGTAATGCTGAAGTGCCTTGGGAGTGGCCATGACGTTTATGTCTTTATTGCACTTGATGTATATGCTCCATGTCTTTCATGTTCTTCTGTATTGTCTTGTTTACTGACATGTACGAAAATCTTCAAAATAAATATATTCTTTAAAAAAGTATTTGAGGTTGAATAAAGACATAAGTCCATCAAGTCCAACCTGTTGTGTGTGTGTGTGTGTGTGTGTATAGGTCCATGAGAATTCTCATTCTTAAGAGTACCTGTACCCTTGTACATTTCGGTCTCTCAGGAAGTCGTCCAAAAGCCTCTTGAATGATTCCAGATTAATTGCGGAAATTACCGCTTGAGGCAGTGAGTTCCAGACCCTAACCGTGCGAACTGAGAAGAACCCCCTTCGCCCCTTGTGTTCGAATTTTTTTTCTACCAGTTTTAGGTGGTGTCCTCTAGTCTTTGTTACGGAATTAATCTCAAAGAGTTTGTTGCTAATGTTGCTATGACTATTGAAAATTTTGTACATGAAAATCATGCCCCCCCCCTTTAATCTCCTTACTTCCAACGTAAACATGTTTAAATTTAGTAGCCGTGTCTCATAGCCCTGGTCCTCCATCCCCTCCAGTCATCCCCTAACTCCAACATATGATCAGAAGAGAGAATAACCTGAGAACATATGATAAGAAGAGAGAATACCCTAAGAACATATGTTCAGAAGAGAGAATACCCTAAGAACATGCTGTCAGAAGAGAAAATACCCTAAGAACTTTTGGTCAGAAGAGAAAATACCCACATATATTATCAAGCTCCCCATCTAACAAGGGTTACGAGTTGGTGTGTGCAGTCTACTCCAAAGTCTTGGGTGGCGTTGGAACAAACCTTCTCATCTGTTCCCCTCTCTGGGCTCCCATGGCTTTCTCGGACCCATACCAAGGATTTTGTATCTAACTCCATTATAGGCCCGACTCTTAAGGTGGAGAGAAAAACTTTCCCATTACAGCAGTTCTCTCCTTCTCCTTCCCCTCTGACAACTATGATAGGAGACCCTGACTTCCCACCAGGATTACCCCTTTTGAAACAATGTGTCAAGCGGGTTCTCCGGTGTTGCATTCACTCTAATGCAACACATTTACACTAAATGCTTGTTACCCCTCCGCAAGACTATACCCCTCCATACCTACGTAAATGGGAACAGGAAGTGGGAACCTTCTTTACTCCCACACAAAGGTCCCGGGCCATACAATTGTCTCATTCTTCTTCTATCGAAAGCAAAATACAAGAACAAAGCTTCAAAATCCTTAGCAGGTGGTATTGAACCCCAGCAACACTTCACATGATCTATCCTTCTACCTCAAAGCTCTGCTGGAGATGTTTTTCCCATCCCGCCACTAGGAGACCTGAGACCCCACACAGCCCGGGTATAAGCCATATTACTTTGTTTTCATATATCAAGTTAAAGGCTCAGCAATGGCCGCCCATGTGCGCACTAGGAGACCTTAGACCCCGCACAGCCCGGGTATAAGCCATATCACTTTGTTTTCATATATCAAGTTAAAGGCTCAGCAATGGCCGCCCATGTGGCGGAGACCCCCAGCATATAGGAATGAGGCAGATTTTTGGCCATCTGACCAAGCTGATCGCCTTGTACTGTACACAGATGTCTCCGTTCTCGGGGCAGAAATAGCAGCGACAAGTTTTATACGCTGCGTTTTGTCATGGGGTTATATATACAGCAAATGGTGGCTACAAAACGCTGCAACTGCCACATGTCATCATAAGCGGTGCCAATTATACGGAGACAGCGGTTTTGTGATTTTCCGGCTATGGGCAGCTCCACCTTGGATGTGACTTTTTACATGCCTGCTGTTCCATATTTACATCTCCAATATAAATAGATGAATTCCCCCTCTCGTGGATGTCTATGATGGAGCGTGTGCTCAATGTAAATAATGACATAAACTAAACCTGGTTAATATATATTTTGCTTTTAATATTGCTGCTGTTGGCATCATCTGACTTCGCAAGGTAAGGAAAAACTAAAGCTTATCAGAATGGGTTAGAGGTGGGTGGGAGAAAAATACTTTTTGAATTGAGCTGGGCTTTAACAACATTTGTTTTTTTCCCCACTTGCAGAACACTTAATATTGTAACTGTTCCTTGGCAAGGCTTAGGATAAAAAGTGCTGTAGCAACAACCAGCAGGTAAGAAGGTGTCAGCGTATGGATTAACATATGTTGCCAAACACATCATGGATCCATAATCAATAATCCAAATGTTTTATTAAAGTGATCACATCACATGTCTGATGAAGAGGTGTTGTGGGGTTCTGAAGTGTTGCACTGACACTTTCTGTGATGTGATAGCTTCAATAACGGGATATTTATTTTCCACTGTAAAATCCATTTCTTGAAATAGATCACAGGAGACAGGAGGTCATTGTGAAACCAATGGGTTATGCAGCTACCTAAGGATGTAAGGACAGCTCTGTATAACCACTCCCTATTCCAGTCTGCCTCAGTTTTGTAGCAAGCCATACAAGAAAGGATGACAGAAAACAGAGCTGAGGCTCCTGTAATGTACTCCAAGAAATGCATTTTACAGGTAAGACAAAAATCCTGTTTTCTTGATCGCATATCACAGGACACAGGGAGTTAATTCTGGAACGCCCAAAAGCAGTGCAGCAGAGGGATGGGCAACACAGCAAACCTCAACAGGGAACTGTAACAGAAGGGGCCCACAATTTAGAGGTGACCATGGTCACCAGGACACAGATGGGCGAATTTCCCCAGCAGTGACACAGATGGCAATAAAATCATAAAAGCGCTTGTTACCCTTCCTAACAAGGAATTGGGTTTTGGACTTTTGGATAAAGCACACTTTTTAATTCATATAAAAATGACAGACTCAGAACATCTACCTCTCAGAAGAGAACATACACAGCCTGATGACTTTTTACAAGAACGTCACATACATACATGCATACATAAGCTTTCATTTTCCTGTGTGATTGTCTTACAAAAAGGAAAGGTACTAAGGTTCAGAGAGATGGAAAGTGAGAGCTTTACTGGTCAAAACTCTAGATGGGTTGTAAACCAGCTGCCTGCCGAATATTATATTTTACTAAGCTCATGCAACCGTCCCTCGTTGCCATATTAAGTATGAAAATTGTGGGTCCAAAAAATGCAAAAGAAGTCTTGTTGTATTTTACATCAGTATAAACCACCCTCTGACCGCTGCACGCAACAAGCAAAGGAAAACAACATTATCCAGATTAACATTTACATCGTATCCTTTACCATCAAACAACTCTGAAGAGCGATGCATGCTTTTTGGCTTTTTTGGAGAAAAGTCTTCCCGACCTCAAGATTTAAATGCTATAAAGAATATATACTTGGTCTCTGCATTTAATAATACAAGGAGACTAAGCTCAAGTCCGAAAGGAGCAGAAAGAGCATTCACAATGAACGGCAGCTGCTGTGCTTTTGATGAACCCATCTTAAATGTTGTTCTTCCTCCTATGCTCCTGTTGGAGTTCATTCTTGGACTGCTTGGTAACATTCTTGGGCTGTGGATGATCTGCTGTGATTTCAAGTCCTGGAAGCCAAATTCTGTATACCTGTTCAGCCTGACTTTGGCTGATATTGTGGTTGTTTTCTCTGTGCTCTTCCGTGCAGATTATTACCTTCGCCATCAACACTGGGTGTATGGCGACATCCCCTGCAGATTATTGCTCTACATCCTTGCTGCTGCTAGAGCTGCCGGCATGATCTTTCTATCGCTTATTGCTCTAAATCGTTACTGCAAAATCTTGTTCCCTTTTCACAGAGTGAATAACATTACCGTGAACCAAGCTGGGTGTATATGTGTTACATTGTGGATATTTATCTTTGCAATGCACTCTTACATCCTAAAAGATCCACATTTTTTCAAGCTGAACAACGGAACACAGTGTGAAAGTTTTAACATTTGCCCACAATCCCTAATTGCCTGGCAGGATGCATTCTATATATCTGTCTCATGCCTGTCTTTGCTGACTATATCTTACTGCACAGTGTCCATTGCTTTACACTTGAAGGACCATGCCATTGATACAAATGGAAAGGTGGGGAGGGCAATGACATTCATTGTGTTAATTGCTACTGTATTTTTTGTATGTTTTGTACCTAGTGCTACAGTCAGAGTCGCAATCTGGGTCTTAAAGTCCATGAAATATGAGGACTGTGCAAGCTTTAGGAACTCAAGCCTTGCATTTTATTTAACTATCTGCCTAACTTACTTTTACAGCATGCTTAATCCCATGTTATATTACTTTTCAAGTCCATCCTCTCATACTGTACTTACAAAGTTATGGAACAACAAAGAATTTAAGTCAAGTGGACCCCATTAAAGGAGCACACTATAATGTAAGGTAGAAAAGTGAAATTAGCAAATATGTAACATGCATATGCTTAAAGCTCAACTCCACCTTTCTGGCCCATATGGTAAGACAAGGCACAAAAATAAATCATACATCACCTATCTTTTCCCATTGTATTTAGTTGGCCAAAGGCATCATGTGCAATATGAGAATTTTAAACATAAGGGATACAAGTTGTGTGTCTGATTTCCACCCTTCCTTCTAATTTACATTATCTTACCTTCTACCTTACATCATCATTAGCTTCTACCTTACATTATCTTACCTTCTACCTTACATTATCTTACCTTCTACCTTACATTATCACTAGCTTCTACCTTACATTATCACATTATCACTAGCTTCTACCATACATTATCACTAGCTTCTACCATACATTATCACTAGCTTCTACCATACATTATCACTAGCTTCTACCATACATTATCACTAGCTTCTACCATATATTATCACTAGCTTCTACCATACATTATCACTAGCTTCTACCATACATTATCACTAGCTTCCACCATACATTATCACTAGCTTCTACCTTACATTATCACTAGCTTCTACCATACATTATCAGCCATTAAAGGCAGAGTGAGCATTGGTTTGTTTCTGCAAATGTAAATAACAAAGATTGGTTGGAAAAAAGAAATATACATTTTCATTAAAATTGAAAGTGTGTGCTTCATAAAATACTGCAAAATGTAGGGATGCACCGATACTTTTCGAGTACCAATGTCGATACTTGGCATTTTCACGAGAACTACCAGGGTTGCAGCGGTTGCAGCTGGGAACTGGCGCTCCATCACTGTCCTGAAATCATTAGTCTGTATTGTTTTAGAAAAACTGTCACATGACAATAAACAAAAATATATCAGTACTTGTGTCTGTAAGTACTTGGGCAAGTATCAGTACTTGTACTCGCAAAACTCGTATCAGTGCATCACTTATATATATTTATAAAAACAAAATCATACATTAAAAAAGAGATGTACAAATCCCAGGAGCTCCGTGTGCTCCTTACAAATGACAGCTGCCTCCTATCTTTTGTATTTTTCTCTAGTCTAGACCTGGAGCTCGAAAAGTATCGGTACTTGTACTTGTACCAAGTACTGTACTTGGTATCGGTGCATCCCTAGCAAAATGTAATGTACAAGCTAAACAGACTGTCTGCATGCCAATGCCTTTTGTACTAAGCTCACTTGTCTGCTATTTATTATTGTGTTTGCAGTTACTTTACAGAATTAAAAGTTTAAAAAAAACTCTAGACCACAAAGATGTGTTATAGTCATGAGTGGTTGCATTTGTTTTCTTTCATGCACCTTTTATTTCTTTCCATTCAATTATTTCTTGTAATACTAACTTACCTAATAATGCTTTACATCATTCATGGAACTGCGTACACAGTGTGGTCCAGTGGCTCTTGAAACCCAAACGAAGTCTCACTTTCAATCCCTTTATAATATTGTACCTCTCCCTGTTATGATTTGTTATAGATTTTTGCTTGGACTCTGGTGCCTATTGGATTGCACAGTCAATATGTATCTGCCAACATATCTAGGTCTGTGACTTCAACTGGGCTTTGAAGTCCCATGTTCTTGTAACAGATATCCAAGCATACAAACATCCTGTGTGGGTGAAAGCTCATACTGTACTAATATAAAAGGCAGCCAACATGTTTTCCTGGGTTTCCATTAACCTATGCTTTTTGGAGAAGAACAGGAACACCCAGAAGTGAATTAAACTTGCAGCATGAAGTCTGATAGTGGACTCAGCAGTTAGTAGTGTATACCTTTTTTTGGGGGTTGCTACAATTTTTTCAGGAGATGGCTGCAATTAAATGTTAAATCCACCCAAAACATATTCTATATTTGGCAAATACGGTAATACCTTGGTTTAGAGACCAAAGTAAAGTAACTTGGTTTGAGAGTGTTTTGCAAGACAAGCAAACATTTCTGAAAAATGTTGCCTTGATATACAAGCAATGTCTTGCAATAAGAGCAATTTTTTTTTAGAAAAGCACCACCCGAATAAGGCTGTAGCAGTGCGAGCGATGAGTCTGTTTAACGACAATACAATGTCACATTTAATAGATTCCTTGTTAAGTTTTCACGAAATGAAAAAGATTCCATTGAGTCAAGAGATAGCAGTGATTCCGTTAGTGATAGTGAAAGTCGTCCTACACAATAATCCTCCTCTCTCTTGTCCCCCTCACACCAGCCACAAAGGTATCTGTAATTGGTCTATTTTTATTTTGTACAGTATTATATTACAGTACAGTATTATAATCATTTTTATATGAATATTTTTGGGTTGTGGAACAAATCATCTGAATTTCCATTATTTCCTATGGGGAAATTCGCTTTGATATACAAGCGCTTTGGATTACAAGCATGCTTTGGAACGAATTATGCTCGTAAACCAAAGTATTACTGTACTGGTGGGCTGTATTAGGCAGCCCAGCATGGAGCCTCTCTACCTCTGCTGTAGATGTTAAATGCTTAAGATTAAAAGAAATCGAAGCATCCATATATCGGACGAGGCAGGCAGGAATACTTGGGAATTCAGGTGTATAAATCTATGCTATAAGAAGAATCTGTCAACATCTAACAAAAACTTATACTATAAGGGGACATTGCTGGATCCTGACATTGGTTCGTATTATAAAGCAAATGAAAATATTCCAAACAAATTTACGCAGAAAAAAATACATACTGAAAATAATTTGGTATTATTTACATATCAAAGTAGAATAGAGAACATGAGCAACTCCTGTAATAAGATTGCGATTTGCAAATTCTAAAATAAGGAGTAAAATTGGGTATTCACTCTGCAGTTTGGATACTGAAGCATCATCAAACAGTCCCATCCATTTGAGTAACAAAACTTTCATGGCATTAGGAAATAAGGCAGAAACCAGTTCCTGGGCAGGAGGCAAGTCTGAGATGCGATCAATATGTTTCCTTTTGAACTCTTCCACCTGATCACTGATGTGGTAATTCTCACTGTGGAACCGATCTCCCAGCCAACTGCTGACCTCAAGCAGCAGGAGGTTATCATACACGGTGGAGCTCTCACACTGTGAGCCCTCCTTGTTCTGCAAGTGACTTGCAATTTCTAAAAGTTGCACAATGCTTAAAATCATATTATCTAGGTATCTATGTCCACTTAGTAATTGCTCAACAACATCTAACAATGCCGTAGCTGTCTTCTTTAATTGTTCACTTACATCAACTGCCATGTTGGCACAGGTTACTAATATAGACTGAATTCTCTGAATAAAGAAGTCATTACTTAATGTTTCCTGTGAATGGCATATGCCAGAACCTTCTTCTTTAGTCATGCAGTAGTTGTGTTCTGCTGGAAGACTCTGAGGAACCTTGTGAAAGTCATTTAATTCTCTAGAACAGCTTGATAACCTTTCCTGGCAGTCAGGTTCCTCTGCCTGGTTAAAAGATGGTATGGAAATATCTGGGTCTCCAATACAATTCTTGAGGTCATAACATTCACTTAAAAGATCATCTTTGAGATGGGACTTCCATAGTTCCTGAAATAATCAAATAAACAGCATGAGCTGGTGAATTATAAAAAAGGCATATGTTGGAATGGAGCCATTACTGGAAACACTCCGTTTGGTCAGAAACATAATTAAAAAAAAGGGAATTCAAAGCAATACTGATATCTAATAGTAATGCCAGTTATGAAATAGATAGGAAACAAAAAAACTATCTAGGTCTATGATTATAACTACAGCCTTTTATAATTGTTACTCTTGTGGGAATTAGCTTTAGATGTTAGGGTGTTAGAGGAGGCAGACATTTGCCATGTCTTCTTTTTAGGGCTTTCCTGCCCACTTTTATTAAAAGAAAGTTCAAAACAAGACACGAGTTACCCTGGAAGGGGTTAGCATTAGCTGTTGCCTCAATCCTCAGGCTCATGTCTGTATCCTCCAGAGCTTCTTCTCACACAAGCTCTGTGCATACATCTAGCAGTTACCTGTTGCGCTGGCCCCCACCTGTCTCTTGGGGGCCAGCGCAAGAGACAGGTGAAAGTAGAAAGTGAAAGTAGTAGATTTTTCAATTTACTAAAGATTTTGCCACATGGATAAATTTAATTTACCATACACACATTATTGTATTGATTTATACCGTATTTTGACTGTAAAAGTCAATGAATAAAAATGAACACCACTAGCTTCAGATTAGCGATAACTGTGAGCTTAAATGAGGTGTCTGTGGAGAAGGGCAGGAAAAAAAAATAGAGATGAAAAGTCAGAGATACCTGAAGGCTTTCAATGACAGCCAGTTGCTCTTCTCTGCTGTACAAATCGAATGCCACTTTAAATAGTCCCTGAATGCTATAAAACCACAACGTGTTCAGTCCACTAGGAAGTCTCATCCTTTCAAACCTGAGATCTGGAGAAGATGTAAAAACACACATTATTTTATTGGGTCATTTACAAGATTTGTAGCTCTGCTGCTGTATAGAATGTTTATTTACCAAAACATATGAGAAGAGGTTACTCAGTGCACTTATCACATTTATTTCATTTCTGAAAGTCCTTAACTTCCTGCGTTGTCTGAGATATGTACTTCTTCAGGAAAAAAAGGTAGAGTGCAGTGTGTGGGGCAATGCATCCCCACATCATCCACAAACCAATATATTAAATGAACATAGCTGGCTGAGCAAGGGAGCAGAAGGGGAAATGAGAGCAAGCCCAGAGATACTTCAAGAAGTACTTTTCTGTACTGAGATTGTGACTCATAATCACCATAATGAAGAATCAAATGGCCCACACTGTGCTGTGAGAAACAGACACACATACATGTATACAAAGTGAAAAAATAAAACCTTAATTTTATGGTGTAGCTCCTTTGTTTCTTTTCTTTTTTTCCCCCCTCTCTCCTCTGTTTTGTTTGTTGGTTGTCTACCTCTTTCTCCTTTCAGTTCTAGATAATTTTTCAACCCCCATCTGTACTTGTGTGTCAAGGGCAGGGCCGGATTTACTCTCTCTGGTGCCCCAAAGTCAGGTTCCGCGCCTCCCTACCGCCAACCCCTCCTCCCCCCAATGGAGAATGGCAACCAGATGGTGGGGGCGGCAGGGTTGGTTTTATTTATTTTTTATTTTAATAATTTTTTTATTCTTTTTTTTTTAAATCAGTTTTAATATTTATTTTTTTTACTTTTTTTATATTATTTCTGTTCTTATCTTTTACCTTTTTTAATTTTATTATTTGTCATTTTTTATAACTTAATTTTTTTAATTATTATTTCTCATTATTTTTTACCTTTTTTTTATTCATTTTATTTTTTATCAATATTTCTTTTATTTTTTCACCTAACTTTATTGCCATCACACAGGAGCTAATAAGCCCCTGTGACAGAATTTGGCGGTGCTGGTTCTCCTGTGAATGCTGAGATGGGAAAGCTGTTAGTGCAGCTCTCCCATCTCAGTGTTTACACAGAGCAGAGAACGGATGTTCTCCGCTCTGCTCCCCACTCTCCATCCTAAATGAATGTGCCATGGTCCCAGGTCCCCCAGAAGTGCAGGGGACCCCGGATATCACGGCGAGGAGGGAGGCAGCCAGTTGGGAGAGAGGCATTCGGTGGGGAGGGGGTTCAAAACTCCTGTCCTACTCCCTCTATTTTCCCGCTCAAGAAATAGGTTCACTGGTTAGTGTGCATACAAAGAAAATGTACCCCTGTGCACAAGATTTACTAATAAGAACATACAATATGCATTGGATTTGATGATTGTTACTTCGAATAAAAAGGTTAAAACATGTATTACCTGGACTGAAAGTAAGCCTTGCAGCTAGTCCTTTCTTTGCAAATTTAGCATGAATTTTAGAATGATTTTCTGTTCTAACTCCTGTCTGTGAAACAACATCAGCTCCTAGGAAAACAGGAATCATGGTGTTCTGCAACATAAAAAAATTAAATAACATTCACAAATGCACTAGCTCCACTTCTGTTGAGCCAAATATCAGTTGTTTCAAAATGCATAGATGTTATTACAATAATTATACAGCCAAAGATTTCACCTTAGCATAACATTATACATATTAACCGTTTAACATAAAATAACAGTTAAAGGATATCTTTTAAAACATATTACCTATTTTAAAGTGAATGTTTAGTGGTTTTGTACAGTTTATTACACACAGTAATAATATATATACATATATATTACACACACAATATAATTATTTTTTTTAAATTAGGGATACACCAAATGCCAATAGTATCCTAAAGGCCGAAAATGCAGTGCTTACCTAGCTTCTCTCTTCCCTGATGAGAGGTCTCTCCTCCCTGCACCGCCCCCACTCGGCATCCTGACAGGTCTCTCCTCCCCTCACCACCCCAATCGGCCTCCTGAAAGCTGCACTCCTCCCCGCTGGACGCCAATCTGTGTTCCCTCCGATCCCCGCTGCTCTCCGTCACCTGTGTCGGCAGAGGAAGTGGGGATCCATAAGGACACAGACCAGCACGCAGCAGGGAGAAGTGAAGCTTTCAGGAGGCTGAACAGGGTTGTGTGGGGAGGAGAGACCTGTCAGGATGCCGAATGAGGCAGTGCAAAGAGAGGAGACCTGTCAGATGTAACAGGAGGCCAAAATCTCCTCCCGCACCACCCCTCCTCCTGTTACAGGAGAGTCAGGATGGAGAGCAGGTTACAAGCACTCAGCGATCAGAACTCTTTGCTGAGTGTTTGTAAATAACTGAGGACATAGTATGCTTATTGTGTCCCCAGTTATGAATGAATGGGAAGTGCTCTACATCACTTCCTGTTCATCCATGATTGTGGTCATAGTAACTGATACTATCTCCTCAGTTTATGAATGGACAGGAGCACTCAGTAAGTAAAGAGCAGTGATGGCGAACCTATGGCATGCGTGCGTACCATACTGATCGCTCTGGAGAAATTAGGATGGTCTGCATCATCCAGAGATGCAGATCACACCGATCCTCCACTGGACCACCAGGATAATCCCCAAATGCCCCATTGGACCCCAGGGATGCAAAACAGGTAAGCAGGAGAAAGGGCAATATTTTGTATTATAATGTATTATCATTGTTAATAGTCGTGTGTGTTTTATGAGTGTGTGTGATGTGTGTGTTTTTAATGAAGATATATGTGTGTGTGTGTTTTACCAAGGGTATGGTGTGTGTTTTTTTATGGGTTTTTTTTAAATGAGTTCGTGTTATGTGTGTGTTTCAGTATGTGTGTGATGTGTGTGTTTTTTAATGTGTGTGTTCTTTTTTTATGAGTGTGTGATATGTGTGTGTTTCATTACATTTTCTACACAACAGTTTCATTCCTGTTTCTACACAACAGGGGCTGCAAAAAAAAAGAAGAGGACTCTGTGTCCTTAATCTCCTTTTCTATTTTAAAAGGGAAATATCAGGGGACCCCTGATATTTCTCAAAAGCCCCTAACAGTAAAGTAAACAACAAAAATAAACAATAAAAATAAAATAATTAGAAAATAACTGTAAAAATGTTAAAACGGTTGGTCTGACAGAATTTTTATTTTCGGTTTCAGTCTAAAAATGTAATTTCAAGGCATCACTAATATATATTTATTGTATATACAGTAAACTCCTCATTATCCCGCATTGAAGAAACCCACAAAACAAAAATCGAGGCTATATGAGACTCAAAAGAAATTTAATGAAGCCCTTTGTATACATTTTGCTGCCAGCCAGTGGCTAGATTCAGCGGTCGGCAGCAGAATGTAAACAATGGGTTTCAATAGCTTGCCTGCTATTGGCTATTTCAAATTGGAATAGCCAATGGCAGGCTGGCTATTGTACCCGCCCACTGAGCAGAGGAGCTGACCTAAGAGAGAACTTTCTCTCTCAGATCCACTCCTCTACTTAGTGGGTGGGGTTTCAATAGCCAGCCTGCTACTGGCTATTGCAATTTGAAATAGCCAATAGCAGACTTGCTATTGCACCTGCCTACTGAGTAGAGGAGCGGACCTGAGAGAACTTTTTTTCTCAGGTCGGCTCCTCTGCTCAGTGGGTGGGTCTTCAATAGCCAGCCTGCTATTGCAATTTGAAATAGCCAATAGCAGTCTGGCTATTGCTCCCAGCTGCTGACATTCACCTGGCGGCTGTGGAAGCTGGCCAGCAGATAATGGGGCCACGAGGGGGGGAGGGTGCGGGGTGGTTGCTTGAGAGATACTAATAACTTTAAGCAACCAGAAACTACAGTTATGCGGCACCTACCGATCCCCGTGGATGACGGAAAACTGTGAGTTTACTATATCAAGTGAATATGAAACAATGCAAATTAAAATTTTGCACTTTCCTGCTGACCCACCAGATGAAGCTCTAGGCTCATTTTTTAAATTTCCCAGGCTCTTGGTTTGCTTCTTTGATGATAAAAGCTTGTTTATAGAACTCAGTAACTTATGCTGAAATTTTAACACACTAGCGGATAACTCATCACAGTTACTTATCTCTTATCAGAGTGATCTGGAAATATTTTTTCACACATTATTGTTTATTTATAAAACAAAGATTGTATAAACATAATAAAACAACTGGCTGGAATTCATCTACTCCAAGGAATTTGGTTCTCTAATGTCTACCTGAGATCTGCCCAATTGGGGATTTTGGTCGATGGACGGAGGGGTGCTAATGGGCTAGTGGTCCTCTCCTATTCATCCCGCTGTCGCTTCTGTGCCTTTGTACCAATTACTAGCTGCCTGTTTTTCGCTTTTCTACCCTATTATTCTAGTTTTTGTCCTTAATGTGAACAGGGTTGAGCGGATTAATTTTGCCCCAGAGTATTCCTCGCCCACACACATGGCTTGTTATTATTGTGACGTTTACTTCTTCTGGCTGAGTGATATGGTTGCATTTTGTGATACCTTTGACTTTACACCATATTATATTTGTGATCGTGATTATTCTCTATTTTATTTTCTGTATTTTGAAAAATGTATAAAGTAAAAAAAAACTAAAACATAATTAAACACTATAAAGAAAACTGAAAAAAAAACAAAAACGTATCCCAAAACCATTATAGGTTCTCTTCAAACCTACTCTAGGCTCTAGGACACAAAACAAGTTTGCACATACAAGCTCTTACCTCTTGTTTGCCTGGGATCTGAGAGCCTTCATCACAGGCCAATGTAAACACTGCTTTGTTTACATTCAGCCTGTCAGATTGAGGAGCATGAAGTTATCATGCATCTCTTTAGTTGTGCATCGTGCTTACTACAACTGGGTGTGTGGAGTCACATGTAATGTAGGGTGGGCAGGGCTTACTCTAAAAATATTGAGAGATTGCTTTATATGCAAAATTGCATAACAGCCGCTATGCTGCACTAGAGGAATGGAAGAGGATCTATGCCAGGGGCTCTGCAACACACCAAAAAGTGCTGAGGGGCAACTATAAGCCTGCATTCACTCCTGTACTGATTTTGAAGGCGAATTTGAAGCTTTTTGGGTTTTTTTGGTTGTGTTTCAGGCTTCAGCATTTTCATTTTAGCCAATGAAAAGCTTGTTACTAGGTTGTTACAAAACTGCTAAAAAAGAAGCTCATGTATTGTCCCAGACTTAAAGCTACAAGGGACACTACACTCAAGTGTGAACAGGCACAGTTGAAAATAATAAAACACTTCATGTTGAGAGTTGTCGTGCTTTGGGAAACACGTGACAAAACTCTCAAGTGTGAATGGGTACCAAGTAAGCGTTGTCACGGTTTGGGGAACACACGACAATATGCTCAGGTATTAATGGGCACCACCGAGTGTTGTTCCACTTCAGCAAACACAGGACAAAACACTCAGGTGTGAATGGTGGGTAAAGCTGTTTCCTGGTACCTGTACATGATAGCATACAATGCACAGAATGCTGCCATGTACAGGTAGCAGGAAAGGAAAATTACAGAAAGGTAAGTATTCGATTTTCCTGGTACTTGCTAATGTCATTCTTTTTTTTACCCCTGTCAGGGTCATTTTAATTACCGCCTACCAGCTGATTTATTGTGTGTCAAAAAAGAACTTCACATAAAAGTACAGTGCAATTATGGGTACAAACCTGATCTGTCTGTCCACGGTGAAGCTTAAATGAACATGGAGGACATATGTACAAATACCTCAGCCTCCTCTTTCCCGTGTCCCATTCTGAGAACTGCAGAATTCTCACCTCTGCTGTCATTGCCAGGCAATGAGCAAAATTCTATTCTGCAAATGATAAAACACACCAAAGGTCATTGTATACGTTTTATTGAGAGTTGTGCTTTTAAAAAGAAAGTATTCCGTTTAAAATAGAAACTCATCACTGCCTACTAACACAACCGGAAACATCTACCTCTAAACCAAACATACTCACCCAGAGGAAACACACTTCCGGCTGGCCTCAGTGTGTTCTGACACAAAAGCCAATCCATCAGATTTGCCAAACTCGTTATTTCCGTCGGCTGCCATGTGAGCTCTACACATCCGGTCACACGTAGTGCGGCCGCCATTGTTGTTGAGGGCAGACTGGGATGACTAGCTGTACTGTGTATTTGTGGCGCAGGTTACTGTGAGTTCATTTGTTTGCCGCTAGATGGGGCAAGTAGGGCGCCATAAATGCTGTTCTTTCTATAGCGTTACGATGTCAGTTCAGCTGCTCTTAGCATAACAGCAGCAGCCGCCTCCTCTGTTTGCCTTCACAATGGTGGACATCTTTAGCGCTGGCCACGCCTGTGTCCCCATGGATTTTAAAAGTGGGTCATTCTCCAGGGGATCTATGTATAAATAATCTGCAGTGCCATTCGCCCTGCAAATCTCTCTGAAAAGAAGCAAAGGATTTTCGTACATTTTCTTTTCAGGTCACATGTAATAATGCATTATGGGCACTAGATGGAGCTGAGGAGCATATAAAGTAAATACTTATTTTCCGTACTTCTCAGCTCCCTCTAGTGGCTACAATGCGGTATTACATTACATTCGATCTGATAACATTTGACCAGGAAAGAAAATATATTAAGCATATTATTATTTTTTTGCCCCCATTAGGACAGAACAAATATTTACAGAGATTCTGCAGGGCAAATGGCTGTGTCTCAAGTCTCAAAAAGACGCACCCATCCAAGTGTAGTGGGTTCACAATCGTGGCATGACCAGTGCTAAAGATTTCCACAAGTGCACATGTCCTGTAAAGTGTATCTATAGGAAAAACCTATGCAGTGCACTACAATGTGCATGTTAGTGGGCAAGATGCATCAGGGTGCCAATAAGAATGAATGGCACCACAGCACACCAACACATGGTTTTACACATTGCACTCGGGGCCTGTTCACATGAGATCAGGTGCTGATCAGCAGACGTGGAGCTGCTGATGCAGTGCGTTTTTGACGCGTTTTTGGTCCGGATACTGACAGTTAATTTTTTGTCAACGTTGATGACATCATAATAAGTGGAGCAAGAAAACAATTTTTTCTTTTTTTCCCCCCTTAGCTGCATTGCGTTTCGTTTCCGTTCCGTTGTCGTTGCGTTTTGTGCACGTTCCCGGACCGGACAAAATGTGACATGCAGTATTTTTTCTGTCGTAAGCTGAACGGACTGCGCACGTGAGAACCGTAGCCCATAAAACACATAGGGATACATTGGGATGCATTTTGAGTGCAGCAGCGTACGGAGCCGGTCAGCACACAAAACGGACGTCGTGTGAACAGGCCCTAAAGATGTTACCCGAGCTTATATTTTTTTTGTGTGCAAGAATTCTTCATGGACCATGCAACTGACAGCATGACAGGAGCGCATCCTCTGTATTCATCCTGTGGCCAAAAAGCTCAGAAAGTTGGGAGGCTTACGGTGTCTCCCTGAAACCCTGGGATATATGGTTTATGAGAACAGTCTGCACTCCACTAGGCAGGTATTGGGTTTCCTCAGGCTGCTTAACCCCTTCGTGACTGACGACATACAGTGTACGTCGCCAGCATCGTGGCTGTTTAAACAGACTCCCGGCGACTTTTGCCGCCGGGAGTCTGTTTAAACTTGTAGAGCCGAATATATGGTGGAGGATGGGGGTGTCTAAATCTATGGATATGATATACATAAAGAATTTGCAGATTTCTTACAAGCCAGGAATCTCAGGGCTTGTGTTGGCAGGGAAATGCAGCAACCTTTTAGCTGCATTCAGCTCAAACATGAGATACATTTCAGGTTCTGAGCTGCTTCTGCATTGCCATTGATTTGTACATTGAGAAAAGCATTTCTAAGGGCTCGTTCACACCAGTTGCAGTGCGTTCCGGCCTGATTTTGGCCAGAACGCACTGCCTAGCATTGTGGCTGGCTCACTTTTTAGTAGGGCGTGGCAGGCCATTGAAGTGAATGGTACCGTAGCCACACCCTGCGGCTGCAATGCGTTCGGCCGCACAGGATCGCAAGGCACATTATGCCTGCGGTCCGGTGAGATCAAAATAGTGCTTGCAGCATTTTGATCGCACCGGACCGCAGGCATAATGTGCCTTGCAATCCGTGTGACCGGACACAGGGCAGGTCTACGGTGCTATCACTTCAATGGCTCGGCCCACCCCCTCCTTCCCCACTAAATAGTGAGCCGGTCCGCAATGCGAGGCAGTGAGTTCTGGCCAGAATCGGAACGCACTGCAACTGGTGTGAACGGGCCCTTAAGAGAAGCTGATGAACAACAGTGAAGTGATCATATGCCTTTATATGCAGTTCTGCAGTGGAATACTCTGAATACTTTCTGAATGCACTGTATTACAAGGAAAATATACTGTACAAGAACATTTGTTTTGTGCCTCTATTTGCACATCTGTAAAAAAAAAGTCAAGGCAACTGGGCTGGCTGTATTTTTCTTAAAGACGTTTCACTGGTCATCCAATCAGCTTTCTCAATTCAGAATGACTTGTACAAAGATTCTCTGGGAATAAATATGGTGAATGTTGTTCCAATCCACATAATCTGTTAGGCACGACCAGGTATTGATCTATTTGCACAGAACGAACATTTATGGAGATTCACAAGCCCTTAGTGGTAATGTTATTTTTTTTAAATTGAAATACATTTATTTATATACATATAAATGCACGGATATACTAAATAGTACATTATCTGACCCAGAAAATGCATAAAGTGTTAAGTATAGTAAAGTCATTTTATGATTTCAATAGTGATACACAGAATCAAATTATTTTGTTCTTTCACACAAGGGGTTACAATAGGACCCAATAACAGAGTAATTTATATAGAACGGTTATTAAGAGGCATAGCAGAGACCCTTCCTTGAAGAAAGTATTGATTTCACACAGCCTTGAAAACATTACGAGGGGTTTATGTATTTCTGTAACAGGGAGTTCAAGCTCTTGGATATCACACAGCACTTCACGTCTGTTCCTTTGGATGGTAGTCTTGTGATTCTAGAAAATACCTTCAAAAACAAGGTGAATGTTATGTTAACCTTGGTGGTGTACCATGATCTGAGAATGGATTGAAATAACAGCATTCACTACAGGTATAAGGCAACGGCTTGACACAATGCGATGTAATCACACACCTTATGATAAATCACATAACAGCACAAAACACATCACGGTATTAGCTGATACCCATTACTTGCGATATTGCTTTGAAAAAATCCTCTGATCTTAACATACTGCTACACAGACCATTTTTACTGATTTGTATCTATTAGTAACTGATTTGTAACTCCAGTTAGTAACAGGTGGATGATGGCTAGAGTTCCCTGGGAGCAGTATTTTTCCCCATTCATGTGATAAAAGAATACCAGCTTTTGTTCCTGGAGCGTGCACCGGTGGCGGGGACGGAAGGACGTGGAGCCGTGCTGAGGGTGACCGGAGGTCGGAGGGACAGACGGAGGGACCGATCGGCCTGCGTGGACGGAGGCAGTGTATGAAGGAGACGTGACTGGCATCAGGAACAGGTCGTATGAATGTGATTGGGGTGAGGGGGTTGTAGTTGTTTAAAGGTTGTTTAAAGGTGTCGTATTGTGGATTGGGGGGGGGATAGAAGTGTAGGGTGGAGGGTGAAAGTTGTTGTTAGGGGGTAGAGAGAGTACTTTAACAAACAAAAACAAAAAACCACAAAAAAAAAAAAAAAAAAAAAAAAAAAAGAAAAAAAAAAAAAAGGGGG